CAGGATGCAGCCAACAATTTTGAGTTATCTAAACCAGGCTGAAAATTAGAGGCCATTAATAGCATCTCATAAAATTGCTTCTCAGATTTTCTTAAGCAGAATATGCTGAGGACCACAGGGATTCAGTGATAGGAGAGAGCACATTGCTGCTAGTTATTTTTCTGAAGCTTGATCTAGGGATCTTTCTGAAGAGGTCCTTACGCAGCAGTAAGATCAATGCCAAGACTCATACCAACCATGTTGTTCCCACTTAGAAGTGGTGACCAGATGGGCCGGCCCGGTGGCGCACTCGGTAGAGTGCAGTGCTTGGGGGTGCGGCAGCGCTCCTGCCGAGGGTTTGGATCCCATATAGAGACCGGTCCGCTCGCGCGGTGCCGGTGCGACACTGAGGGTTGCGATCCCGTTGCCAGTCGTGGTACGGGCGCGACACTGAGGGTTGCGATCCCGTTACCAGTCATGAAAAAAGACAAAAAGGAAAAAAAAAAAAAGAAGTGGTGACCAGATATATCATCCATGAAGAGAAGCTTCTTGGGGTTCCCAGAGTTGAGTCTCTCAGTGACTTTTCACAGCTAGTCACCCCAGCAGCTCGCTATGTCCTTGACCAAAAACATCCCAGACATCCTAGACTGAAAACTGAGGGCAATTTGACCTATGCACCAATTTAATACACCTTATTTTTCTTATATTTGCTTGTAAACTGTTGAAATTGTATAATCAAGGACTCTCTTTTTTGTTTTCTACAAATGACACAAAACAAACAAACAAAAAATCCTAAAAACATCTTCCGAGTCCTTCTCTGTTCTTCCGGGGTCCCAGAACCTCCTGCTTGGGGACTGGGACAGTTTTATATGGAGCAGCAGCCACTGGGGTCCAACTCTTGGCCCCAGCAGGCAGGGGTCAATACATCATGGACTTGCCAGAGAAGAGACACAAGGGAACTGAATAGAAGAGCCTCTGCTCTCAGTTCAACTGGGAAGTATAAACCAACAAGCTGGCACTAATTAAGAGCTAATGGCCTTACGATGGAGCATTGCCAAAGGATAATGACCCTCTGGCTACAGCATAAATATCAAGGCATTTGGGGCAGAGCCAAGACATATATTTTCCGAGTGCATTAGACACCACTGCAGCCTTCCTCACCCTGGCTCTGCGGAGAAAAACGAGAGGATTTAAGATAGGTGGGAAAGAAGCTGGATCTTCCAGGGCTGCCTTCTGGTCAGCTGGTCAGAAAGCCTCAGGATGACTCTCGAGCGAGATTTTGCTTTTCAGACCTAAAATTTTGTGTATACAAGAATCACTTGAGAAGCTTGCTAAAATGTAGATTCCCTGGGTTCCACCCCAGAGAGTCTGATTTCAGAAGCTCTGGGGTGAAGCTCTGGAATCTGCATTTTTAGCCAGCTCCCCCAACTAATCCTGATGCTGTGGTACTCAGATCACACTTTGAAAATGCCACTTTAGAAGCTGCTATTATTTGGTCTATCATTAGACCCCAATGACAAAGTTTTTACAGATTAAAAATGAAAGTGAGGTCAAGATTCTCTGCTTCCTGTAGAAAACACCAGTCCAGAGCATGACACAGGGCTGTTTCAGAATGGTGGCATTTCCAGCCAGCCTCTGTTGGGGTGTTCCCATTCACCCAAACCTGTGCTTACTAGGAGCAAGATTCCAGGGGATGAGGAGCTAACCCTGGGTCTGGAGAAAAAGAAAAACCATCCAATCTGCATGGTGTGTACTATGTCTGCAATGCTTTCATATACCATAGCTTATATGACCCTACTGCAATCTTTCAGGCTAAACTATTATGTCTGTTTTAAAACCAAGGAATTGTAGGCCTGGAAGTGTCTTGCCTCTCTGGTCTCCATGACACCAGAAAAGAGAGTGAAAAATAGTCACTGTATTACAATTGTGGTTAGCAGGGCCAGCAATCCAAACCAGTAACTTAGGCTTGACCTACCTAGATCAGGCTTATCATCTGCTGGTAGAAATGAGGTTGGTTGTTGAGATCAGTAAATACTGTCGTAAAAGGATTGATGGGTCAGATTATAAAAATAGATGGGAAGTTCGTATGATAAACGCAAGCAGAGTATGAGAACAGGAGAGAAACAAACCACCATATCATCTGGGAAAATGAAACTCTTTGGCAAGACTTCACAACAGCCTGATTCAAAATTTCATAATGAAATTATGTCTCTGATCAAAGCCTGAATGAGCTCATGGGCTGATTTTTGCCATTCGTGTTTATTCTGGTTTGCACCAAATGAAGGCATCAGAAACACATTAACCTAATCTTCTCTCTGGGAGGAGAGTACTCTCATTTTGGGGATCAAAGCGACAGTATGGGGCATCTTCAGATCCTCACCGAGCATGAAGTTTTTTTCCAACTAGCTCTCAGAGATTCCGTCAGACACACGTCAGGGTCAGGGCCTTCCCTAGCAAAGTTGTGTTTAATCTCACAGTACTTGCCCTTGGGGCAATAAAAGTGAAGCTCAGAGGAGTGAAGGTATTTCCAGCTCTTGTCTAGGACATGGCCTGCTCTTGCTCTAGAAACAACGTTTTTGGGTTTCTTTCAACTCAGAGAAATAAAGATTCAATCATCCCTCCCTCAATTACAGTACCTCACTTTATAACGAATTGTTTTTAAGGAATGAGGTACACTGCGTGAATCTACCCTCCCTCCTGCCTAACCATCTCTCCCCTGGCCTTTCCTGAGAGCACAATGACGGGTACTTTCTGACAACTCGAGGTACCAGAAAAGAGGGAGGGCTTCTTGGTTGAAACACTGGCATCTAGAGATTTTATTTTGGCTAGTCGAAACAGAAATTGCTGAGTCTTACTGTCCTCCTTCACCCTTAGGACAAGAGGCGTTTCCATACATTCATTCTTTCATTCAGTGAATATTTCCTGAGTCTGTCCTTTGTTTCAGGTGCTGTTCTAAGTCTCGAGCCATAGCAGTGAACAAACTTACAAGGTTCCTGCTCTCAAGAAGCTTACATTCTAGTTTTATGAAAGCAGACAATAAACTTGTAAACAAGAATATTTTAGCTAGTCATAAACGCCATGAAGTAAATAAAATAGAATAATGTAATGGAATAACTGCAGAAAGGTGACTGATTTAGACAGGAAAGTCTTCAGTTAGACAGGCAAAGACTTCTCCCAGTAGGAAGGGTTGACAGATAAAATACTGGATGTACAGTTAAANTTCTTTCATTCAGTGAATATTTCCTGAGTCTGTCCTTTGTTTCAGGTGCTGTTCTAAGTCTTGAGCCATAGCAGTGAACAAACTTACAAGGTTCCTGCTCTCAAGAAGCTTACATTCTAGTTTTATGAAAGCAGACAATAAACTTGTAAACAAGAAATCCACCCTCCCTCCTGCCTAACCATCTCTCCCCTGGCCTTTCCTGAGAGCACAATGACGGGTACTTTCTGACAACTTGAGGTACCAGAAAAGAGGGAGGGCTTCTTGGTTGAAACACTGGCATCTAGAGATTTTATTTTGGCTAGTCGAAACAGAAATTGCTGAGTCTTACTGTCCTCCTTCACCCTTAGGACAAGAGGCGTTTCCATACATTCATTCTTTCATTCAGTGAATATTTCCTGAGTCTGTCCTTTGTTTCAGGTGCTGTTCTAAGTCTCGAGCCATAGCAGTGAACAAACTTACAAGGTTCCTGCTCTCAAGAAGCTTACATTCTAGTTTTATGAAAGCAGACAATAAACTTGTAAACAAGATTATTTTAGCTAGTCATAAACGCCATGAAGTAAATAAAATAGAATAATGTAATGGAATAACTGCAGAAAGGTGACTGATTTAGACAGGAAAGTCTTCAGTTAGACAGGCAAAGACTTCTCCCAGTAGGAAGGGTTGACAGATAAAATACTGGATGTACAGTTAAATTTTTTTTTTTTAAAAAGATGACCGGTAAGGGGATCTTAACCCTTGACTTGGTGTTATCAACACCACGCTCAGCCAGTGAGCTAACCGGCCATCCCTATATGGGATCCGAACCCGTGGCCTTGGTGTTATCAGCACCACACTCTCCCGAGTGAGCCACGGGTCGGCCCATGTACAGTTAAATTTGAATTTCAGGTAGACAATGAATAATTTTTTAGTATAAGTATGACCCAGGCAATATTTGGGATATACTTATATGAATAATTTATTCATTTGTAATCTGAAATTCAAATTTAACTGGACGTCCTGTATTTTTATTTGCTAATTCTTGCAGCCATACCAGTAGCTGGCATTTGAGTCGAGAACTGAATGACCAGAAGGAACCAGCTATGCAAAGATTCAGGGCAACAGTGATTCCAGGCAGTGGAAACATCCAGTGTAAATGTCAGAATAAGCAGAGGGAGGGAGGTACAAATGAAGTCAGATAAATAGGCAGGGACCAGATTACAGAATTCTGTGGGGAAGGCAAGCAGCGTGAATCTCCTTTTCCTTCGTTCTAAGAATGATGACAAGTCATTAGAGTTTTAAGGAAGAGGATGACACGTTCTGATGGATATTTGGCTGTGTGGTCGGCCACTTTAGGAAGGGATTAGAGGACAAGTTCAGAAGATAATTAAACTTAAGTTTGAGCCATTGGCCTGGGAAGAGGCTTCTTTCTTAGGGAGTGGACCCAACCAGGAGCTCTGAGCCGCGCGTCCAGGGTAACTAGGCGGTTGCTATGGAGGGGCCGCTTGGCGGTTGCTAGGGCGGGAGCGGGCGGGGGCTCGACGCAGGGCGGTGTCTAAGCGGCCCGGTCGGGGGCGGAGCCAGGGGTGTGGCGGCGCGCGCCGCGCGCTCTCAGGAAGTCGCGCGGGGCAAGGTAGTGGCGCGAGCGGAAGTGACGTCGTCCTTGCACACGTGGTCCGGCGTGGTTCACGCGGGTCTCCTTCGCTGGCCCTGGGGAGTTCGCGGAGCCGGGGGTGTGGCGGCGCGCGCCGCGCGCTCTCAGGAAGTCGCGCGGGGCAAGGTAGTGGCGCGAGCGGAAGTGACGTCGTCCTTGCACACGTGGTCCGGCGTGGTTCACGCGGGTCTCCTTCGCTGGCCCTGGGGAGTTCTGAGGTGGTTTACGTGAAGTTAGCCAGACCTATACCTCTGGTGCTCATCCCACCGGCGAGATGGTGAAGCCCAAGTACAAAGGACGGAGCACCATCAACCCTTCCAAGGCCAGCACAAACCCGGGTACAGGCGGCGGGGCTCGTCGAGAGTGGAACTTGGAGGAAGCGTAGGGGAGGGCTCCGAGGAGGCTGAGGGGGAGGAGGGGCACTTGGGTGGCATTGCTTGGAGTGACTTCGAGTGGAGTGGCTATCGAAGGGAGAAAGAAAGCCACATTGGCGGTGGTGTCTTCACTCGGGGGCATTGAGGAGGACTGACATCTTATCTTGCTTGCCTGATAGGCCAAGATGTAGTCACCTGGGCTAAATTCGGAGAAAGTGAACATTGAGCTCAGGCAGCCTTGGGTCATCTCCAGTTGTGAGATGCAGAGAAAGTCAGATCAAAAGTAGTGTGATAGAGCCAGTGTGCCTTTTACATTTACATTAGAGAGAATGAAGGACAAATAAACAAAGTAGTACTGGCCTAACTTCTTATTTTGGGAGCCCTTCTAATAACCTGTCTGCTCCAAAAGTGATATAGTAGAAAACAGGCTGAAATCACAGGACTGGTGGCAAACAATCACACTTGTCTGCCACCTTAGCTTTGACCATTTAAATGAGAAAGGGATTGTATTGTAGATTCCCTTGGAATCATCCCATCCAGTAAAGTGCATAGAAAACCCTGCAGATAAATAAATATGATTATTTGAATAAAGATGTTTTTGGAGATGTGCGTAAGTTCTGGCAAGGGTCCACCTACAGGTTGAACAAGATAGCCTTGGAAGAGTCCCATTCGGATTTAGTTAATCAAGCTTTGTTTTTAAATATGGTTTAGAGTTTTGGATGACTTTAATGCAGGTCGAATGCTTTCCCTGGATTGATGATAAATTATTCAGTTTGTGTAGATTGGGATATCAGAATGTTAGGCCTGAAAAATCCCTTAGAGGTCATGACTTTGTAGGTGAAGAGACTGAACCAAAATAGGGGAAGTGGCTTATCATAGTTGTCACAGTTAGTGAGTAGCACAGCCAACAGTCCTGTGATTTCAGCCTTTTTTCTACTACATCATTTTTGGAGCAGACGGGTGATTTGAAGGGCTCCCAAAATGAGAAGCTAGGCTACTATTACTTTGCTTATTTGTCCTTCATTCTCTCTGAGAAGCAAGGCAAGAATTGCTACCTGTTTTGCTGGAAATTAAAAACTGGCACATTAAGAATACTTATATATCAAAATTATAGTCTCCATCATGCTATGCATGTAGTAGGCCCTAGATATTGGTTAAAGTGAAACAGGTAGATGTCTTAGTAGTTAAGAGCACAGATGGTGATCAGATGCTTGTATTCAAATTCTGGCTCTACCATTGGTAGCTGTGTGACCTTGGGCAAGGTGTCTGACCATTGTGCCTCAGTTTCTTAGTCTGCAGCGTGAGGATAATGTGTTTCTCTTTGTAGGATTATTGTATGGATTAAACGAGATGTTGCCTATAATGTGGATAGTACAATACCATAATTAGTGCTCAAAAAATTTAGCTATTATGGGCCGGCCCGGTGGCGCACTGGATAGTGCGCTGCTTGGGAAGTGCGGCGGCGCTCCCACCCGAGGGTTCGGATCCCACATACAGACCGGTTCCCGCTCACTGGCTGAGCGAGGTGCGGGAGTAACACCAAGGGTTGCAATCCCATTGCCGGTCCCCGGTCGGTACGGGTGCAACACTGAGGGTTGCGATCCGTTGCCGGACACGGAAAAAGACAAAAAGTCAAAAAAAAAAAAAAAAATTTAGCTATTATGGGCCGGCCCGGTGGCGCACTGGATAGTGCGCTGCTTGGGAAGTGCGGCGGCGCTCCCACCCGAGGGTTCGGATCCCACATACAGACCGGTTCCCGCTCACTGGCTGAGCGAGGTGCGGGAGTAACACCAAGGGTTGCAATCCCATTGCCGGTCCCCGGTCGGTACGGGTGCAACACTGAGGGTTGCGATCCGTTGCCGGACACGGAAAAAGACAAAAAGTCAAAAAAAAAAAAAAAAAAAATTAGCTATTATTATTGTCAAACACAGTCCTATTGAAGATCAAAGATTGGGTCAACTTTGTCATACCATGTAGCTTCAAGTAATAATTTTATTGAAGAAACATACAGAGAAAGTAGAGATTTTGTGGTGAGGCAGCAGCTTGCCTAGTTTGAGTGAACTACTGGGTGCATTTTAAGCAATGGCCATACTTAATACTTGTTAGTTATCAAGTAGTGTGCTTTCTACTTCTGTCTTTCCTAGATCGAGTACAGGGAGCAGGAGGCCAAAACATGAGGGACCGGGCCACAATCAGGCGCCTGAATATGTATAGGCAAAAGGAACGCAGGTGAGCACTGGGCACTGTCGTTCTTTCCCTTTCCTTCATGCCCTTGACTTGTAGCTGAGGCTTATTAAGTCCACCCCCACTTTCTCCAAATAGAAATAGTATATTTTCAAATATAATTTTATATGAGTGTTGTAATGAAAAATTGTTGATTTTTGGTTAAGGGCATGAGTAGTGGGTGGTGAAATAGTGATTGTTTCACAATACTCCGCAACAAGTAGAATTCTTTTTCCTCACAGCCCCAGCTTCCATGAATGGCACATTAAATCTCAGAGTTAAATATGAGGGTACTTCAAAAAGTTCATGAAAAGAGTCATATTATGTTTTAATTCTGTTTTTCCACAAACTTTTTGAAGTACCCTGTAGTGATGAAAGCTTCCAGAAAACTTTTTCAATGCCAAACTTTAGATCACAACATTGTGGCACTTGGAAACTCATCACAACTCTGAGTTCTGCTGAGGCAGCCTCTCCCACAGGGACTCGCTGAGTGTGGCATTTTGTTAGCTGGTCTTGATTTGTTTAGTAATTAGATTCTTCATCTGTTCTAAAAGATGTGTCTAAAACACAAACGTCAATGAACTTAATTTGCCTTAGTCACCTACTTTGCAGCTTGTTTTAGGATTTTGAGTTCCAGCATAAATCACCCTCTACTTAAAATTCATTTAAACCAGGCTTCAAATAATTACCCAAAAACTCAAGTATGTGATTTTTTTTTTAAAAAAAGCAAACAGTAAACAGATTTTTAAACATCAGCGTTATTTGTTATTCATTTAGTAGAAATCATTACGTGCTCTGTTGCAAGAGATTAAATGGCTTTTGGGCAATCTGTTTCAAATATAGAAGCACTTTTGTTTACTGAAATCTGTATTTCATGATCATTTAAAACCAAAATAAAAAGTCCTTTTGATGGATATTCTGTAAACCAGACTTTGCTGTTGCCTTTCTTCTTTTGTTAACCAAAATCTGTTATTTCCTCAATTTAGGAACAGTCGTGGTAAAGTGATTAAACCCCTGCAATATCAGTCAACGGTGGCTTCTGGCACAGTGGCAAGAGTAGAGCCAAATATTAAATGGTTTGGTGAGTATTGTCCCCTTTTTCTTTGCTCTACAAAATGTATGCTGTATGGAAAAGGCTAGAATATTTAAAATGTCTAAAAGGCAGGAGTTTTTGGTGAGTGGAACTGTCAAGGGTTACATGAGAAAGAGATAAGAAGTGCCTGCAGTGGAAAAATTGCTGAGAAAAGTAGTGATGGTGGATTTCATAAATAACTTCTTTTTGAAAGAGAGCTCATTGTTGTTAATTGTAAGTGAATCCTCTTAAGCAGATAAGACCATCCTTAATGACTAGCATTCACAGACCTTGGAACTCTCATCTCTTTATTCTGGGTTGCCTGGGGGGATTACTGTTTGAGAGGTGGCCTTGCAGCTGTTTTTGTGCTCTTTGCCTGCAGGATAAGTGCATTAGCCTGAAGTTCCTCAGAAACACTTTTTCTTAATGTTGTTGTATTTGAACTGGAGTGACAGTTGAAGGATCTCATTGTTGGTCCTTCTAGGAGTGAATAGGGTATCTCCAGTCACACACGGATGAGGGCTTCTTTCTTTGGAAACCCCCCCCCTTCATTTCAGTCTCGACCTTCAACCTTTGCCACTGGTAGATGTGAGGGTGCTTCACATGGTCGGATGCCATTATTTGCCTGGTGTTTGACCTCTGTGCTTGGGGCACATGGCAACTACCTTTAAATATCTTTTATACCTCTTGATAGGATATCGCCTAAGAACCTGCACCACAGAAAAATGTCAAAGAAATCTCTGTAGAGAGGCATTTAGCATGATGGCTTGATACTGTGACTCTAGATCCAGACTGCATGGGTTTGAATTCTTGTTCTGCCATTTAGTTTTGCCATTTGGCAAGTTATTAAGTCTGTCTATTCATCAATTTCCTCATCTCTAAAGTGAAAATAAAAATGGTATCTATCTCACAGGACTGTTGTGGTAATTAGATGAGTAAATACATGTAAAGTGCTTAGAATAGTGCCTAACAAATGGTATGATATAAGCATTAACTGCTATCATCATCACAAATTTGACATTTTGCATTTGTGTTGCAACATGCTGTTTAATTGAACGCTTCCCTCAGGATCTCTTACTTGCAAGGTGTTCTCCAGGTAATGTTGTAGGGCTTTATTTTGTTCTCTTGCATGGATTTATTGGTTAATTTAATAATCCTTTCAAACCCTCACAACCCTAAAAATTGTAGTTATGACTCTCGAATTTCTGTGCTTCAGGATTCTTTGTGTATACTCACTGATCAGCCATGATTGACTCCAAATTTCTTTGCCAGATCTAGCAGGAGGTAGGACATTTGTCAGATCTCAGTTCCATTCAGTGATGTTTATTTTTCAGTTTCATCCAGTCAGGAAATTGGGTTTGGAAAGCTATTGAAACCCTTCATGTGTCTGGTTGGTGGATTAGTTCATAGCATATGAGTGCAGGAGAGGCAGTTTTTTTTTTTTTTTTTTAAAGATGACCGGTAAGGGGATCTTAACTCTTGACTTGGTGTTGTCAGGACCACGCTCACCCAGTGAGCAAACCGGCCAACCTTATATAGGATCCGAACCCGCGGCCTTGGTGTTGTCAGCACCGCACTCTCCCGAGTGAGCCACGGGGCCGGCCCCAAAGGAGAGGCAGTTTTTTTTTTTTTTTTTAAAGATGACCGGTAAGGGGATCTTAACTCTTGACTTGGTGTTGTCAGGACCACGCTCACCCAGTGAGCAAACCGGCCAACCTTATATAGGATCCGAACCCGCGGCCTTGGTGTTGTCAGCACCGCACTCTCCCGAGTGAGCCACGGGGCCGGCCCCAAAGGAGAGGCAGTTTTTTGTTTTTCCTATTTTAAGTTTGAAAACGGCTACAAGGGATGGATGTGTCAGGTGCTTGGGTGAGTGAGGGTAATTTCAAATCTTGCCTTTCACTGTGTCCGTGGGAAGGTTGATGCAGAAGTAAAACCGAGTTATTTATTAAATGGCAACATTCTTTATTTGTAAAACAGGAAACACACGTGTGATTAAGCAGTCATCATTACAAAAATTTCAAGAAGAAATGGATACAGTTATGAAGGATTCATACAAAGTTGTCATGAAGCAAAGCAAGTTACCAATGTCTCTTCTCCATGATCGAATCCGGCCTCATGTAAGATGTAGGATATCTCTGGTGATGGAATTTCTTGGGCAAACTCCATACAGATCACTCTCTAACATATTTGTCTTTTGTTTTTCCTTATGTAGCAGTGGCTTTAAGTCAGCAGCAATGAACTTTCTGAGACTGCTCTTTTCACCTTTGTTAGGGGTCTCATCTTTAGTACAAATCATGTTTTGTCATAGAGGTGCAGTAGCATAAGCTCAAGTTTTGGAGTGAAACCTGAATTTTAACCTTTGCTTTACGCCCTCAGTTAGGTTTCTCCATAAGCTTTAACTTCTCTCCCTTTAAAGATAACCCACCTCCTTGGGGGATTGGATACAGATGAAACGTCTGTAAAACACTTGGCCTGTAGTGAGCACATAGCTAATAAGAGCTAACTAGATACCAGCTATTAATTAGTAATATTGTTTTTGATTATTTATTTATTTTGGTAGGCAAACTTGTTATAGGTGGTAATTCCATCAAACTTTGGGGAAACGTAGAATTAGGATTGAGTTGGTAGGAGAACTTTGATGTTTGGTACTTCCAGCTTTTGTGAGATCCTTGGAGTTTCTATTCAACTAAAGGAAAGGGTGTTGATTGCTGAAGTTTGAAGTACAGTCAGGATTCAGTCTGGCTTGAGTGGAATGGGTTTCACATGGAACAAAGAAATGGCCTAATGTTTGCCTGCACGTTTTTATTTGCATTGAATAATAATTCCCAGAAATGTAGCCAATACATAAGCTTTAGTTCTAGTATAAGGAGGGGAGAAAAACATTGACATGCATACATGGATTAAACAGTTCAAAGAAAAGTGTTTACTTGCAGAACAAAATAAAAACCACAGCTGGTTATTGCCTCAGGTTTTGTCAATTATGTTTGTTTTATAATGGACTAAAAGAATGGCACCTATTAGTGGAGTGACTGTTTTCTTTCAGGAAAACACATGAGTGTAATTCATGAACCACAGACAAGTTGCTCATTTCCCTTGTTCTCTTTGTCTGTTCTCCCTAAAGCCATCTTTCAGACAACTATTGAATCCTGTTTATGGGAAGAAAAGAGAGGTTCTATTATGGATTTGTTTCTTTGTTACCCATTCCAGATGCTTGGTGCTTCTAAAATTCAGTGTTTAAATATCTGTTACATAGGATGAAGGATGTGCAGTTGCAGCAGTCAGCTTCTATTTTGATACAGGAGGGTACTCAGAGTAATTGATGAGTTTTCTGCTTTGACATTGAAAAACCTTACCTATTTTATTTCAGTGTGATATTTATTACTTATAAAATCCAATTCTGAGATTGTTTTGCACAGTGGAGTCAAATCAGATATGCTTTTAACTTTTGCACATTTGGCTATATGTATATTAGAATCACTACATTTCTGTAGCAAAACAGTAAAAATAGGCCGGCCTGTGGCTCACTCGGTAGAGTGCGGTGCTGATAACACCAAGGCCACGGGTTCGGATCCTATATAGGGATGGCCGGTTTGCTCACTAGCTGAGCGTGGTGCTGACAACACCAAGCCAAGGGTTGAGATCCCCTTACCGGTCATTCTTTAAAAAAAAAAAAAAAAACAGTAAAAATACCGTAACTTATTTTGCATATGTACTTTATTTTATTGTTTTGGGGTTTTTTGTTTGTTGTTTCAGCATATGTACTTTACTATATACTGCATATTACTGCATTACACTTATTAACGTGTAGGTTTCTAGACATAAAACCATGTATACTGTACTTTAAGAGATTTTAAAGGATAATTTTGTTCACACTTGATTTTCCCCAGTGACATTAGAACCTAGTTCCCATGTAAAATGTGATTGTTTTGCTTGGGGATATTCTCTGATGGAGGGTCGTAAGTAAAACTAAACTAATAGACGGGTTAAAGAACCTAAGAAAATAATAGCTTAAGGATCTTTAGAAGGTGGAAGGGTGATCTGTTAAAGTTCATGAGCCATGGGGTTGCTCTGTCATCCAGAGATTAGTAGCTGATGCTTATGGAGGAACTTGCACTTGAGGGGAAAAGGATGATTTTTTTTTTTGAGGATATTTTCTGCCGGCTGTTAATACTCTGTTATGTGATAGATCCTAACTCAAACTTTGACTTTTATCCTGCTTCAAAAATTCCTATGCCTGTTACTCCTTTACAGGCACATCAAGTTCTAGTTAGTATCAGGTTTCTTTTATCACATCTAAACTATTATTTTGGACTTTTGCTAGATGTTTTTCATTTGAAGACTTTCCATGTGTATTTAATAAAAACGTTACCTAAATTAGGGAAAATGTTATCTGAAACTAAAATGCGTCTTACAAAACAAGCAATTCCTTTTAGCCATGAAAGAAATTAACTTCCAAGAAAAAGTTGGCATTTACAGTTGGTTTAAAAAAAAACACAAATTTGAGTATGATTGTCCTTGACAAAATCTGTGAATTTGGCGAATTTTATGGACTTGTTTGAAATCTCAAAAAAATGGTCAGAAAAGATAAGTTAATTTTCATCATTGTAGCCTTAATTACATGTGACTAAAGTTTATGATAAATGAAATAAAGCAGAATTTTTGGCAGGTCTTACACAATTATTCATATTTGCTATGATTATTTGTATTACTTTTGGATTTCTCCAAGGAAGCTTAAGAACTTCAGAACAGGGAACAAGTGCTTGTGCTATTTAAATAAGCATTTCTGATTTGAACCCAGACTGCATCCATGTTCTTGTAGATTTTGGTATGGGTTGAACTTTGAAAAAATAAAAGTAGAAAGCCTTTCTGAGACTTTTTATAGGTTTTTAGCTTTTTGTAGGTTTTTAGCTTCTTGCTTTTTTCAGCGCTTTACTTAGTTTAACCTGTGATTAATTCTCCTTTCTCTTTAGAACTCCAAGGTGCACATTCTTGATACTGAAAGTTTTGAAACTACGTTTGGCCCCAAGTCGCAGAGGAAGCGACCAAACTTATTTGCAAGTGATATGCAGTCTCTTATAGAAACTGCTGAAATGTCCACTGAGAGCTATGACCAGGGCAAGGATCGTGATTTGGTAATTGAAGACACTGGTGTGAGGTACAGTTTTGAAGTTCATGCATTTCTCATCATTTGCTCTTCTTCAACAAAACATTTTCTTTAAGCTTATTTTGCCTAGTGAAAGTCGGTGATTTAAGTCATAGATGGAGAGTTACCCTCGTCCCTGAAACATTGGTGAAGTGGGGCCAGACTGAAAATAATTTAAGGTGGCTTCGTCACCACAGGTCTGTCTTCATCCCCAAAATAAGAATAAATGTTTCTTCATTATAATAGCAGCATATCCTGTCATGGACAAATTAGAAAATATAGTCAAGTTGGAAAAATGCAACAAAAAGAGAATAAGAACTCATAGTCCCATTACCTGTGTTAAGTATTGTTAATACTTCAGTGAATATCAGGCCTTCCTTAACCCCCTGGACCACTAGGGAATTCACGGATGGCCTTTGAGGTTTCTGTGACCTTCTGACAATAATATGGAAAATCTGTGAACATGCGTAAAGGTGGTGGGGTTTTGTTGTTTTTATTTTTGTGTTGTATTGTTTTGTTTTGGGGAGGAGAGAGGAAGGATTCATAACTTTCATCATATTCTCATAGGCATCTATACCCAAAAGAAGGTTAAGAATCAGCCATTGATATATATCCTTCTAGATCTTACTTTTTGCAGCTGGCTGGTAAAGGGATCTCAACCCTTGACCTTGGGGTTATGAGCACCACACTGTAACCAAGTGAACTATCTAGCCAGCCTACACTCATTTTTTATTTATAAGTGTAATATCTTAAGATTATTTTAACTTGCCTTTTATTTTAATATATATTCATAAATTATTAAGAATATATTTTGATGTAGGTACGTAATCAACAGCAATATAAAGTTTATTGTCAGAGTAGTATTTTGTTGTGGCCAGTCCTATAGTTGGATGTTTATGCTGCTTATAGATTTTCCCTGTGGTAAACAACATGAGAGTGAAACATAAGTGTGACTAAATCATGCTCCTCCTTAATTATTCCCCAAAGATGAATTCTTATAGGACAAATTTTGATATTAAAGAGTATGCATGCTTTTTGAGAGGCAGCTGCCTCATTGCCCCCTGGAAAGGCTTTACCAATCTAGCTTCCCTTGGGCAGTGCTGGAGAGCTCCCATTCTCCTGCACTGTCTTTTATTTATTTATTTATTTTTAAGAGATGACCGGTAAGGGGATCTCAACCCTTGGCTTGGTGGTGTCAGCACCACGCTCAGCCAGTGAGCCAACCGGCCATCCCTATATAGGATCTGAACCCGTGGCCTTCATGTTATCAGCACCGCACTCTCCCGAGTGAGCCATGGGCCGGCCCTCTGCACTGTCTTTTATTTATTTATTTTTTTTTGAAAGATGACCGGTAAGGGGATCTTAACCCTTGACTTGGTGTTGTCAGCACCACGCTCAGCCAGTGAGCGAACCGGCCATCCCTATGTGGGATCCGAACCCGGGGCCTTGGTGTTATCAGCACCGCACTCTCCTGAGTGAGCCACGGGCCGGCCCAGCACTGTCTTTTAAATGAAATGGAGGTTTCTCCATCTTAGTGAAGAGGCATGGTCCATTGACTGCAGCTGTCCTCATTGCTGTTGTCAGCCCATCTCAAGTTTTGGGCCTCCTGGAGATAATGTCAAGTCATTTGAGACCAAGCAAAAAGAAGTAGTGACTTAATTTATTCTTAGAATTATGTGAAATTTCTAATTGGCTGTGTATTTTTCTGCTGACTTGAATTTTTTTCTACCCCAAAAGGTGCAATGGGTAATAGAGGAAAGACAAAACTATTTTGTTTCATTTTCCTTGGGTAAATGTCTTTTAGTCTAGTAAAGAAACAGATTCTCAGCTTATCAGAAAAATATCACTTACTTTTCATGGAAGCTATGGAGTATAGATTGTGGTTCAGGTCCTGCCAATTCCATCTTATAGTTCTCTGTGACATATTGCTTGGTTACAGTCATGCTTTTCCTTTTAGTTTAATTTTTTTGTTGTGGTAAATATACACAAAATAAAATTTACCTTTTTAGCCATTTTTAATTATATAATTCAGTGACATTAAGTACATTCACATTGTTGTACATCCATCTCAAGAACTTTTTTTGTCAGCCTAAACTGAAATTCTATACCCATTTAACACTAACTCCCCATTTTCCCATCCCCCAGCCCCTGGTAACCACCATTCTACTTTCTGTCTCTTGTTAAGTTTGACTAGTTTAGGTACCTCATATAGGTGGAGTCATACAATATTTATCCTTTTGTGTCTGGCTTATTTCACGTAGCTTAATGTGTTCAAGGTTCATGCATGTTGTAGCATGTGTTAGAATTTCCTTCCTTTTAATGTCTGAATATTCATTGTATGTATATACCACACTGTGTGTATCCATTCATCTGTTGATGGACATTTGGGTAGAGTCACTTTTTAAATTCAGTTTGTTTTCAGTCCATCTTCAGCTGGTTTTGATACCCGTTCCTGTGGTATGTTGACTTTTCCCTAAAGCATCCTTTAATCTTGGTAGTATTTCAGTTGCTCATTTTAGGTGCTTTCTTATTTAGAAATGAAGCCCAAGAAGAGATATATAAAAAGGGACAGTCCAAAAGGATATGGGGTGAGCTCTACAAGGTAAGACTTTTAAACTCTCTCATTGAGTGGTTCCTTTGCCTTCTAGGATCTTATTTGAGAAAACTGATTTTGATATATTGATAAAGTACCAACTCTGTTGCCCATTTCATCCTCTTTCCCTCACAAAGAAACTAGGATGGATGTAGCTTTGCACATGCTACTCTTGTTCTAGGTAACTACGTTCTTTAAATTCCTCATATAAGAGTAACAACTACCTTATATACACTCATCTATCACCTGTCAATATTTCTTTACATTACATGGCTAAAATGATATTCCTGTTTAGGTTTATCATACATGGTTAGAGGCACATGAGAAATTTTAAGCTATTTAGTCCACCTGTTTCATTTTACAGATGAAAACACCTTTAGAAAGATTTAATACAAGGGTACTATAAAAAGGTAATGGAAAGATCCATATTACCCTTTAATTCCATGCTTCCACAAGCTTTTTGAAGTATCTTCATACCTTACCAAGCTCACCCAGCTCATTAGTGGAAGAGGATTTGTATATCCTGATTCCTCATCCAATGCTCTTTAACTGGCTGAGTTTTATGTCCATGCACTATAATATTCTTGGAAAGAAAGACCTTCAAGCATAGTCACATAATTAAACAGTAACATAGTAGAAAACTTGTACTATGAAGGCAAACTAAATTTTTTAGTTTTATGTAAAATACACACAACTTATAACAGTAGGAACTTATAGAAGTCTGAGAAGTAAATATTCAGTTCAATACTCCATAGTAGTTATGAAATAAGATGAGTTTTATCTAAGCTAGTTTTCATGTTTGAAATTTTACAAGTTTAGGGCTGGCTGTTTGGCTCAGTTGGTTAGAGCACAGTACTGATAACACCAAGGTCCGGGGTTCCATCCCTGTACCAGCCAGCTGCCGAACAAACAAATAAAGACAAAACAAAAAGAAATTTGACAAGTTTCAAATACCCACACGATGAAAAAACTTCAGTTCTGATCACTGGGCGTTGAGATTGGCCACAGCCTATTCTCCTCACAAGAGTGTTTTGAAGTTGTCTCTAAATATTTTATCTTCTCCAGATTTCCTTAATGTCATCCCTTTTGTACTGTAGCAAACCATTTTTGCCTCTTTGAATTTGCAGGTGATAGATTCATCAGATGTTGTAGTTCAAGTTCTTGATGCCAGAGATCCAATGGGTACTCGTTCTCCTCACATCGAGGCTTACTTGAAAAAGGAAAAACCCTGGAAACATCTCATTTTTGTACTTAACAAATGTGACCTTGTTCCAACCTGGGCAACAGTAAGTACACCTACTAATCCAAAACAGACTGTCGAGGCCACTCAGTTCGTGTAGACTTTTGAGTTATGTGTTAATAAGTTAGTTTTATGGTTTTTAGGATTTGAGACATCAGTTAAAGTGTTGAGGTTGTTTGTAGTTATTGGAGTGTTCTCATTGGGAAAAAAACTAAGATGAGCCTCACTGATGATGGCAAAGGCACCTTTTGTTGTCTGGCGATTTGTAATGGGGCAGCTGCAGTGCCTGCACAGGTTGAACAATTGCGTGCCTCTTTGAGGGAGACAGCCGCTGCAGCTGCCAGCCTACTTCATGTTCGGTTCCATTAATTGCATTTAGTAGCAATGAAGGCATTTTTGGAATACTGTTTTACATTTATAAGAAAAAACACAAAGCATGAGCCGTCATAAAAACATTTTGGAGAATTATAGCTAACATTTTTCTTAGTCAGCAGTGTATTTGAAACATAGTCCTGTAATTCAAGTTCTGATTCTTTCACGTATTGTAAATAAACAAGCTACAATTTGCCAGCATGTTTTCTTCTCTCCCTTTAGAAGCGATGGGTTGCTGTCCTCTCCCAGGACTATCCAACACTTGCTTTCCATGCAAGTCTTACTAACCCCTTTGGCAAAGGAGCATTTATCCAGCTTCTGCGGCAGTTTGGAAAGGTATTGAGATCTGATCTGTTTCCCCTGGAGATGTGTAGCTGTGAGTTTGTGTAAGAATATCCCTTGACATAGAGTATCAGGAAGTTACCCGCTTCACCTCCCACATCTTGGTGTGTGTTCTAGAGATGTAAGAACTCCTAGAGCCTAAGGATTATAAGGGATTCTGAAAAGTTTTCTCACTCAACCTTCGCCCCCATCTCTGACGAATATTGTTTTCCTTTCTGCCATGGCCCTGGCACCTGACGGTCCAGCATCTGCTTCAGGGCAGACCCCTCCCCACACTCTGTTCTCCACCTTGAGCTTTCAAGGCCTGCCCTGCTTTCTCTGCCCTTGGGGCTTGTGCAGTTTCTATCCCCTCAGCTTGGAAAGGGAGGGCCCTGCCAAAACTCAAGCTTCAGATCCCTGGTCGGATGTATCCCTGGTGGGATGTCAGTTCCTCAGGGAAGCCCTGAAACCAGGTTACCTTATCAGATGTTCTGAACCTTCATGCTCTGTACCTATAATTTTGTACTTGTGTATTTGATTAATTCTACTTGACTTCTAACAAAAGGCACGTCTCCTGTCCCCCACTCCCCACTTCCCAGAAGCGCTTCAACTACTAGCTCTTGTTTCTGTTATTTTCGTCCTGGTCCCCTCACCCTACTGTTTTAGATGCTTATTAATTTCCTCCTATGGAAAATGAGAATTAGGTTTCTTTTAGCCATCCACTCTCCACACGTACTTTCGTACTTTCCATCTCTCGACTTTTCCTGTATTCTTAGACAACAGTATTGGGTTATATAATATTCGTTGAGTGTTTACATCATTGCAACTGTGTAAAATATTAGTTGCATCCAATCCACAAAGTGTGCTATTATTATAACTCCTTTCTGATAGAAGCTTTTATTTTCTCTAATAACTTGCTCTGTTTTATTTGTTTCTGTCACTAACGTGCCACCAGTTTCTCTGGTAGAGTTGGAACTTTGAGAACATTCAGGCACGACAGGTCCAGTCAGGACTGGCCGCTCTCCAGGCCTGCTACAAAATCTTCTTTCTGGGATTTCCTTTCACCGTTGTCCTCAGAATTTCCATGACTTTTCTGTATTGTATCCCTTTTCTTCTTTTCTGGTTTACTTCCTCCTTTTGATGGAACATGTTTTCCAAGAGTTCCCTGAGAAGAGGTGCTTACAAGAAACATTTTTTTGAGATGCCTTGCACTCTGAAAATATCTTTATTCTATCCTCACACTGTTTCTCCTCAGAATGTTGAAGGCACCGCTGCACTGGCTTCTGGCTTCTGATGTTCCTGTTGAGAAATTAGAGGCCATTCTGACTCCTAACCCTTTGTGGCTGTGATCTTTTATTAAAAATTGCTGTTGCTCTAAAATTTCCCGGAGATGTACCTTAAGGTGGGTCTTTTATTGGTCAGTGAGCTAGACATTCAATAGGACCATTTTGTCCTGATGTTCTCTTATGTTATTTCTCTGAAATTTCATTTTCCTCTACCATCATCTGTATTATTATCTAGGAATTTGGTTTTACCCCCTGGTCTAATTCTTGAGTTTCTTATCTTTTCTTTATTTCAGTACATACAAGTGTACTTCAGAAAGTTCATGGAATAGTAGAATTAAAAGATAATACGAAGAGCTGGCCAGTTTGCTCAGTTAGTTAGAGTGCAGCCTTATAACCTCAAGGTGACAGGTTCAGATCCCCATACTGACCAGCCACAAAAAAAAAAATAAAAGATAATGCTAATCTGTCCATGAGCTTTTTGAAGACTCCTCATATATGATATTTTGTTCTGTTTTCTGGGCAGGTTCCTTGACTTGCTCATCCAGCTGTTGTATCACAGAATTTATTTTCTCACTCGGTAGAGTGCGGTGCTGATAACACCAAGGCCACGGGTTCGGATCCTATATAGGGATGGCCGGTTTGCTCACTGGCTGAGCGTGGTGCTGACAACACCAAGCCAAGGGTTGAGATCCCCTTACCGGTCATCTTTATATAAAAAAAAAAAAAAAAAAATTGCTGTTGCTCTAAAATTTCCCGGAGATGTACCTTAAGGTGGGTCTTTTATTGGTCAGTGAGCTAGACATTCAATAGGACCATTTTGTCCTGATGTTCTCTTATGTTATTTCTCTGAAATTTCATTTTCCTCTACCATCATCTGTATTATTATCTAGGAATTTGGTTTTACCCCCTGGTCTAATTCTTGAGTTTCTTATCTTTTCTTTATTTCAGTACATACAAGTGTACTTCAGAAAGTTCATGGAATAATAGAATTAAAAGATAATACGAAGAGCTGGCCAGTTTGCTCAGTTAGTTAGAGTGCAGCCTTATAACCTCAAGGTGACAGGTTCAGATCCCCATACTGACTAGCCACAAAAAAAAAAATAAAAGATAATGCTAATCTGTCCATGAGCTTTTTGAAGACTCCTCATATATGATATTTTGTTCTGTTTTCTGGGCAGGTTCCTTGACTTGCTCATCCAGCTGTTGTATCACAGAATTTATTTTGCCTGTCACTTTAAATTTTTAATTTCTGAGAGCTCTTGTTTAATTCTGATTTGCCTACCCCCATTTACATCTTGTTTCTCTGTCTATCTGAGAATGTGAAATAACAGTGTGTTTTGAAAATCTCCTCTCTTCCTCCATAGACTCTCTTACCTCTAAGTTTGTTTTTCTGTCTTCTAGAGTCACACTTCAAATGTCTGGTTATTATTCTTAGCTCTCCATTCATTTTTAAGAGTAAGGCACTAAAAAGCTGATGTAATTCTTTTTTTTTTTTTTTTTTGCCTTGTATAGGCTAATTGACTGATAGACTTCACTGTAGGGTGATTGGATAGGGACCCAGTAGTTTGTTCTAGGACACTCTGTAGGTGTCAGTGTCTATAAGTCTTTTTTCTTGGGTTTGTGAATTTCCCCAGCACAGAGTCTTCGAGTCTCCTGCTCTGGAGGTGTATAAGCCTGGCTGCCAGGGTTCTGGTAACTCAGTGAGAGTGGGGAGCTGGGTGTCTCACTAGTCAATATTTAGACTTTCAATTAATCAGTCTGGGAACACTTGCCTTTAGCTGCTGTTATTTCTAAATCCCTTTTAGGTTCTGAAGTCCCTTATAAGTCTGAAAATTAAAGGTATTTTCAGACATACAAGAGTTCAACAAAATCATTATTTCCTAAGGCTCTGGGCTTCTGTCAGGGTAGAGAAGTTGTCTGTCCATGATGAGTGAAGGAGGGGGTGGAGACATGTGGCTGTCTTTCTGCCAGACCCCTTTCTTCCAGTCCTGCCCTTAGAGGTATATACTGCCAAGGAGTGCCGCCGCGCTCCCAAGCGGCGCACTGTAGCAGTGCGCCACCGGGCCGGCCCCAGACTGAGAAAATTTTGCCACTGTGTGGCTTTGGCATGATTTGATTAATGCCACTTATATTTAAGTCCGGTTTTTTAATTATTATTATTTTTTAATTTTTATTATTTATTTATTTGTTTGCTTGTTTGTTTATTTAAAAGATGACCGGTAAGGGGATCTTAACCCTTGACTTGGTGTTGTCAGCACCACACTCTCCCAAGTGAGCGAACGGGCCATCCCTATATAGGGATCCAAACCTGTGGCCTTGGTGTTATCAGCACCACACTCTCCCAAGTGAGCCACAGGCCAGCCCCTTATTTAAATCTTGTTTTAAATTGACACTCCAACCTTTTAATTTGGTAAACAAAACTAATCCAAGGATATTTGATGCCCGGGTTAAGAAGGAAAACTCAACCTTAGGGTAGATACTTAAAGTTGGGGTCATATCCTGGAACACAGAGTGTTTGGGAGCAGTGTGGTTCTGCTTTAAAGTCAAAGAGGCCAAACAGTATTAAGCTTCCAAAAGTCCTTTTAAAACTCAGGGGAAAGTTCACTGGGTATTATTGCACAATACTAGATGGAAATCCTGTCTGTTATTTTTAGACTCTTAGCTGGTGGAAACTATAGTTTATACTTAGTGGAAGTGTCTCTCTTGTGCATGGCACAACTAGAGAGAGTTAGTAAACTTAAATCCTCAGCAGGTTGCTTTTCTTTGACTCCCCCCCTCCCACCTCCTTCTAGCTTTGTATATGAGCATCAGGGGTTCATTAAATTAAACTCTTAGTATTTGACCTGGGGATGTCTCTGGCTTTTTTCTGTCTTCAGGTCTGGCAGTATATTACCTTGATGCGTCGGATATTCTTGATTGACTGTCCAGGTGTGGTTTACCCCTCTGAAGACTCGGAGACAGACATTGTGCTAAAAGGCGTTGTAAGTATTTGGTCCTGATAGGCTCTCTGTATGCTTTTTGTGGGGAGTGTACTGTAGGGCACCCTGGATACCTTTGCTTTTTACTGATTCAGAAGGCAGTTTGGGGTCCACTTGTCTGACCAAACTTTAGGAACATGATGCTGAACAGGGCAGCCTCTCCTTTCCACTTAAGCCTATTTGAGGAGTTAGTGGAACCATGGGGATATCTGGTCAATATCATCCCACAAAAGAGTTTTTAGTTTACACACAGAATCCAAAGGGAAGCAGGGCCTGTTTATGTTTAGTGACAATTCATCTTCGTGGGTTTATGGGTTGAGTCATTTTGGAACCCAGTCATTTCCTCACTTGTTTCTGATTGCAACCAAAAACTTTAAATGGTTCCACTTAACCAGGCTTCTGGCTATACATCCTGTGTGCATTCCTCTCCCCCTTTCTTAAACTATTCTTTTTGTGTACTGAGATTGGCAGGCTTTTAACCATTTCTGCAAGTGAGTAACATGAAGCATTCCAAGTTTAAACTGCTTACAGAAGCTGCACAGTTAGTTTGTGGTGAGCTAGGATTAAAGCTGAGTTCTGGGCTCCATGGCTGTGGTCAGCTTTCAGTGGTGCTCTTTGCAGCCGCCCATATCTAGTCACCTCAGAGACAGGCTCTTGCCAGGTTCCACTTGCCTTGTGGTGTTAAAATCTGTTTTCTGGGCTCCATGGCTGTGGTCAGCTTTCAGTGGTGCTCTTTGCAGCCGCCCATATCTAGTTACCTCAGAGACAGGCTCTTGCCAGGTTCCACTTGCCTTGTGGTGTTAAAATCTGTTTTCAAATCGTGTTACAAAGAGCACTTCTCTGCTACCACAATAAAGTTCTGTAAAGCAAGAGATTTTGTATTAATGTCTAGGTCCAAGTTGAAAAAATTAAGTCTCCTGAAGATCACATCAGTGCTGTACTTGAACGAGCAAAGCCAGAATATATCAGCAAGACATACAAGATTGATTCTTGGGAGAATGCTGAGGACTTTCTTGAGAAGCTAGCTTTCCGGACTGGAAAGTTATTAAAGGTAAGCCAGGGTTTGTGAGAACTCAGACTGGCACGTACAGCAGCATGTGTGTATGTGGTGTGGACCTTGTTTTGTATGCATTGTGTGGGCAGTGTGAAACTTAGCAAGTAGGTGGTGATGAACAACTGGGACAACAGAAATGCCCCCAGGGTGGGAGGTGGTTTTATTCTTTGAATTTAATTGGTAGTCTTTCCATGACATTTCAGGGTGGAGAGCCTGATTTGCAGACTGTAGGGAAGATGGTTCTCAATGACTGGCAGAGGGGCCGGATTCCTTTCTTTGTCAAGCCGCCCAATGCAGAGCCGCCTCTAGCCCCCCAGGTAAGAACAGGGTGGACCCACCTTTTGGAAATCATGGTTACTGCCCTAGATGTGGCGTAACTTTTGATTGCCTCCCTTTATGGAGCATCTGTTTTTGGTGGGGGCGGGGGAAGGTGGCTGGCCAGTACAGGAACCCTAGACCTTGATGTTATAACACTGTGCTTTAACCAACTGAGCTAACCGGTCAGCCCCTATGGAGCATCTTTTTCCTTTGTGTTTTTTTTTTTTTTTTTAAAGATGACCGGTAAGGGGATCTTAACCCTTGACTTGGTG